TTATGCTATTAGATCATCTAGTTCAAGGTTCAGAGAGATAGTCAACTTCCCCAAAGGCTATGTCGTTACAGTCAGCCACAGACTGGAAGCAAAGTTCTCTGGTTGCTCCAGGTGTTTCTAGATCATGCTACTCTGGTCCCTCTTGGTGTCACTGTGGCTTTATTTATCTTTTTACTAAGCCTATTGGTTTTTTTTTTCTGCTGAATTCTTCCCTATTTCTGTAATGTTAAGCAACCAGGAAGAGAGAGTACTTGTGTTCCTGAGGGGAGCTCTTCGTAGCAGTAAGGAAGTTGGACTTCTTTGTCCTTCTTCCCATATTTTACTTAAGTGGAACAGCTGAATAGGAGGTAGTACCTCTTCATCACAAAAGCAACCAGGAAACAAAATTCAATATCATCCTGCCTCATGCTTACATCAAAATGTGTGCCTCAGTCCCGTGCCTGCCTCCCCCCCCACCACCCCGTTTTGAACTTTGGGACAGCTCCTTAGGGGTGGTGAAAGAGAACTGAGCCATTACGGGCATGATAGATGCTAACCACACCGGGACAGGAGCGCCAGCCTCGCTGAAATGTTTACATACATTGCCATCGTTTCGTTGTTCAGTTAGTGCTGTGAGTCCCGGGAGCCGGGGAAGCAGGGAAAGGGCCTTTCTTTCTCCGTGCAGGTTTTATCTGACTAATTTATCTCAGTCATCTTTAAATGTTTTCATTAAAATAGCAAAAGCTGTTACTTTATGTACTGTGTGCTGACATCCTGGGGAATTTTTTTTTTAACAAGATCATTTTTCATTATGAATTTGTGCTATGTGTCAGCACCTTCCCACCACCCCACCCCCCTTGGTTTAAAAACAAAACATACAAGCTGTATTTCTGATCTTAACGTTAATTTTTAGATCTGGCTCAGAATCACGCTGCACTTTTATCGAGGCTGTTCTTACTTCCTATTTCCAGATCTAAAACCAAATACAGACATGCTATTTAAAACTTTGAGAACGTTTAACCTGGTGGGTTATTCTTTTGTGGGGAGTTTCCCCTCGGCCTCCTGAAATAATCTGTGAGTATTTGACTACAGAAAAGTCAATTGGAGGTTTAGGAGCAGTGTCCAGGCCAGGTTTCTGCTGACAGCTGGGGTGTCTTGTCCTCAAGGGGCACTTGGCTCCTCTGAGACTCTGATTTGGAGTTGAGTGCTGGCAAACATCGGGCAGATCGCAAGGACTTGGTGTCCATTCCGATTGAGGTCCATTATTAAGGTGAGCCATCTGGAAAGGATCTCACCATAACATGCAATTCCACCTCCAAACTCTTTGATTTGGTAGTGGAAGGCAAGGCACTACCACATTTCCCTTAATATAAAGATAACAACGTTGGAAACCTTTCAAAATCACCTGTTCATGCCTGTGAAAAATGGAGCAAAATACATCTATGCCCTTACAGTAAAAATAGAAAAAAAAATCTAGCTGAATGAGATTTGGGGAGCAGGAAGATCATAAGTAATTAAAATACTCTTAATTTGAAGTGCGGAAACTCAGACAACATTGGGAACTGAATAGTGTCTCTTTGCAATCCCCGTGCTTTCTTGAGCGTGTATATTGCACACTCTCTAAAGGGCGGATTGTTTTAAAAGTAAACAAACACACCTACGCTGTCCTTATTATCGAATTTTCATTCCATATTCCCATTCACTTCGTCCTGAACTGTTAATAAACTTTATTTTGTAAAGTTAAAAAGAAGCCCTGGGTTTTGTCTCAAAGCTCCAGACAGCTTGTGTTCTGTAGCCAAAGCCCTGACAGAGACAGATGTGCCCAGGTGACAGAAGGGTCGGCTCAGTACATAAAGCAAGTGTGAGGGGCTTCTGTAGGGGCAGATGAAGCATGGGCAGCCTTTGCAGGCCTCTTTCTCTTACTGATAGGTTTATAGAAGGCACATAGCGGCCAGTCCCCAGCAGTAATTCTTTAGGACCCTGGTCAGTTCCAGTGAAGTTTCCTTCCTGCGTTAGGTGAACACACACATTTAATTAGTGTTTTTAGCACTGTACAGCTCAAAGCACAGGCCAAGTTCCTCTGTACCATTTGCTCGATCCTAGGATAGAACGCTGTAAACAATGGGTGAGGGAGGTGGGGTTGAGCTATGATACTCATCCGGATCTTTTAGGACCAAGAGATCTCTAAGTTGGTTGTCTACTTTCCACAATGCTGGCTCCTGTTCCCATCTTAGAGCTGCAGTTTTTATGTCTTCTTTGATTAGCAAAGCGGACGTGTATTTGACACGGAGGTGTTTACTGTGTGTTATTAGCATGCTGAGCTTAGAATGGATATAGATGGCTGAGTTGATGCTGTTTTCTGAGATAGAATCTTGAGATGTCTGCAGTGTGAACACAGGCCAGAAGCTGGTGATCTATCTGCATCCTTCATACTATGATTAGAGACATACACCCCAACTAGTGAAAGATATGTGACTTAGACGCAACAGGATTATTCCTCTAGTCTCAGAACGCTGAATATGTGTCTTTGTTTGTCTATCAATGTTAATTTTTCTGTACCTCTCAGCTCTGTTTATAGTAGGAATTCTAACTATTAAGGTTCTATGTTATTCATAAAAATCATCTAACATCAAAGTTCAGTCTGGTTCTATTTTCCAGATAGACCTTGAACTCACCAATCTCTTGCCTCAGCCTTCAGAGTAGCTGAGATATGAAGCCACACCAGGACTTTCTTTCTTAAAAAGGCTGCTTGCTCTTTCATTGTTCTCATGTCTTGTCTGTTCATTTGCGATTGTGAGGTTATAGATGGCAGGTGCTTCCAATACTGATGTAAACATCCACAGTGCCGAGTCCACAGTTGTGCATAAGAGGCACTAGATAGCTTATGCCTTCCCCACATTCTTTGGTTGTAGGAACAAGATTCTAATTAACTTCCTTTTGGCCACAAGAAAATGTGTTTTCATAGGGTAAGACTGATAGGTGAAAACCAAGAGGCCCGTTCTGTAGGGAGAGGGACGACAATTTGGAAGGGAAACTGTGACCTCAGTGTAGTGCCCCTTGTTGGTAATCAAGCTCCGACTCCGAAGACACTGTCTGCAGGAGGCTGTAATTTAAAACCAAGTTGAGGAACCAGTCGAGTGCCTTTCTCAAAATTACTGCTTTCAAGTGGATATGTTGAAATTATCAGCTGCTAATTATTGGCTCACTGACAAATGGCATTATTTGTTTTTCCTGTTTGGCATTTTAATATTATGGAATAAGCATTCAAATGTAAATGTCTAATAATTTGTGTATTATAGAAGACAATTCCATGAGTTTTACAAAGTAAGTTCAATGGTTTGTCCTAAACAAGCCCGTGACCAGCGAAGAATAGCCAGGCTCTCTGTGTGCGTTTTTATCCCAGAGTCTCTGCTCTGGGATGCTCCTATCTCTCCAAAGCTGGGCTGGAACAGACAGCAGCAATGATGAAGTGTTCTTGAAAGCATAGACAGATAGAATGAGAGCAGAGGAGATGAACATCTGCCTTTTTCAGACCTTTGCCACAAACTCATATAAGACCAAAAATAACACTTTTAACTCACCAACTTTGTTTCGAGTTGTATTGAGTATAGAAAATTTTCTCTTCCTCCACTCCTTTCCTGTCTCAAGAATGCACCATTAACTGTATATTAAATATTAGATTGTCCAAGAAAAGGGACATTTGATGATTAAAAAAAAAACGACATGAGAAGAGTGGCCTGTCCAAGCTATGTAAGTTTGTTTATTCCATATTAGACAGAGGTTAAATTTTTGATGGGTTGAATGAGGTACCAGTGTGGAGTATAACCAAAGTCCTGGGTTCTACTACAAACCATCTGAACAGGCATTAATTCACTTGTCTGCACCTGCTGTTTCAGGCATATACTTATATAAGCGCCACCAAGAAAAATAAAAGAAATAAATACTATCTTTTACACTGCCCTTGGCCATTTCAGTAAGGTATTCTTTTCGGTTTTGAACCAGAACAAAATTTAAATTGAGAAAACAAATCTCTACTGTGAAAGGTGAACTCTGAGTAGTTCTTAGAGTTCATTTGAATTACTTCCTAGCTTGTGTCTAATTTTTAAAAAAAAAATTACCCTAAAAAGAATGTTATGATCAAGGAAGAGCTGCCATAGCTAACATGTTTCTTTAGTAAACCCCTCCGAGTTGCAATGCATGAAGGCTTCAGTCTGAAAAGGTCATTTCCTCAGATCTTAGAAGCCACATCTTTTAGAACCCACAGTCTCCTCATTACACATTCCATTTCAAAGAGGGACTTGTGACCACTATTGAGTAGATGTTAGAGAAGAACAAAGTTACTTGAAAGATCTTTCTTCTAGTAAAGAGCCCTTACAAGCTATGAGGGAAAGAAGGGGAGGGGAAGCCTCATCTGGAATTAAAAAAAAAAAAAAAAACTTAATGTGTTTGGTTTCTGGTTCCTTTGGCCTCGGTGGAACAACTAAAGAGCATTATTTTGGTTTCTGAGGTTAAAACTCTTTTATTCCCCTAAAGTACACTGTGTTTATGGTTTGAGGGAGAAGGAGGGAACTGAAGGGTCTAATCTTGACATCTCCCTCCGCAGCTTTATTCTCTTAGAACAGAATGCTGATCTTCTGGTCTTCTAGCATGAAAAGCAATGAAGCAAGAGCCACAGACACCAGTAAACAATCCCCTGGACTATTTCAGTGCCCGGATAACGTTGAAAGACCCATGGCGTCCCTGTAATGAAGTAGTATAAATTGTGGAGGCCTCATGGATGTCTTGCTAGGTCATCGATTGACAATTCAGTTCACTGAAATAACAAGATTGACATCTTTAGGTTTGCGTAATGAGTTCATGTTTAATCTCTTTAGGTCACTGGAGTGGTGAGTAAGGAGTACATACCGAAGGGAACCAGGTTTGGACCCCTGATAGGTGAAATCTACACCAATGACACGGTTCCCAAGAACGCCAACAGGAAATATTTTTGGCGGGTAAGTAAGGAAACATTTTGAAGACTTTTCAATACTTGGGGGTAGATGGAACTTAAAGAATGGGGTCACTTCCTTTTCAACCAGTTATGGGAAACGATGGGACTCACTCAAGGAAACACTGGAATTCTGAGCAAGTTCGATGAAACCGCTTGGAAATATTGGCTGTAGGTGGTTAGATATGGACTACATGCGAATCTTGATTTTTTTTTTTTTGCAACTCATTACATACAGCTTTGTGATGAAAGGAAACAGCTTGCTGCTTGCTTCAAGGGCAGGCTCATTTGCATTTCTGTTCGAGGAAGTAGTAATGAGTCACCAAGCCTTAGATTTCACCCTTTCTTGATTTCTTGCTGAGTTCACTTCAACTGAATGGAAGAGTTATCATAAATGAATTATCTTGAAGAGAAATGTCACTCGGAAAGGATAGGTAGAAGGTGGGTTAGTGGGGAAGAGAATGACCGCGGAAGTCTTTGTTTAAATACATCTGCACTGTAAAACTGTTGCATTTGTCAGTATCTTAAGTGGCTAAGCGTAAGGAAAATTCTCGCATGATGGGACACGATAGACTTGGCTTAGCACAGCTCCTTAAAAGCTCGGACCTATGCAGCCGCATTTGGAATGCCAGGGTTTGCAAGGACTCTGAGGTGGCCGAGGAGATGCGATTCATGGGTAAAACCTGAATTGGGAGTGGATACAGAAATGTCAGCCTCCCTTTCCAAAAGATGTCTCTGGCATGCTCAGTTTGGAAATGAAGAACTACGTGAATTTAGTGAGCACTTTCCTATACAGACATAAAGTACACATCCCCCGCAGATACGGTAGTGGCCAAGCCTGCATCATGCTTGCCCTGGATGATGCTTTTGCATAAGTAACTTATAAAGAATTTGGATAGGAAATTTCTAGTGAAGCTATTCCTGAGAAATTCTTCTACATCTAGGACATTTTATTTCCAGACATTTAACTTGCTGCTTCTACAGCTGAAGTTGTAGATTTGTTAATTTGTTAATAAGAATCTCAATTTTTATTTATTTAATAATTACTTGGCATTAAAATATATTGCAACAGGACCGACAGTGTGAGAATATGAGTGACCTTTTACCTTTATCGTCTTTCTCAGATGTGAGCCGTAGAGGTCTGTTAGTGTTGGCCTCAAATGGTCTGAATTTAGACAATCTGACATGGTCATTAATACGCTGTCTTTTTGAAAGCAGTCAAGAAACACCTAAGAATCTCCCACTACTCTCCCAGTTCTGTCTCATTTAAAGATGTACAAAGTCATAATAATAAGTAATTGTGAGGCTTTCCTTGGGAGGAACGAATTAAATCAGTGGTTCACATGCAAGCAACACAGCGGGGAATAAAACCCCTCACATGTTGGAAGAGCTGATTTCCAGGGCAGGAATATGAACATCTGTTGGTGAGGAATGAGAAGGTTTCATGCAAATTACACAGTCAAAGAGATGCTCAAGTTGAGAAACCAGTGACATTTCTTGTAACTGTACTATGAGTCAGCACGTGTTTAATCTTCTTGATAATAGTTGGAAAGGCAGGCATCGGTGTGCGTTTTACAAACACATGATTTTATTTTCTCGGGGTGTGTGTGACTTCATGACATCCACGGTTCTGCTTTTAAATGAGGCTACAGTAAACTGTAGCTGTGGAAAGCCAGCTAGGATCAAGACACCCGCGGCTAGCTGTTTCCGCCCTAGTGCAAGAGCGCTGGAACCCCATGTTCCTGGAAGTTTGCGCGTCAGAGTAAACAAACTTGAAAACCCCTCTTGATAGCTGAATTCGCCCAGTCTTGTTACATTTTCTCTTAACAAGACACACCGCGGAAGCTCTCACAGGCTGCTTTGATGAAGCCACATACATCCCCCTCACAGTTCACAGGAAGTCACTCTTAAAAGAAACTGATTCTGCTGTTTACTGCCTGTATTAAAGGGACAGAGTTCCTTTTTATTTCTGATAACGTTGGAGAGAAATACAGAACTGCTCACACAGCCAGTGTGTGACTAAGACTAAGGCAATAGCAGGCTGCCTGTCGAGCTCTCTGGGGTGAACAAGCACCGCACCTCTTGGAGACTGTCTTGTGTGTAAGGAAAGCTCTGGGGTCTACAGGAAGGTGGTGCCTCTTCAAAGAAAGGAACTTTCTGGAGAAGATAAGGAGTGAGTTTATTACCCCTTGGTTTTAGTAAGAGTGTTTTGGCTGCGCCCCCCCCCCCCCGTCTCCTGTCTTAACTGTGCCTTTTTTACCAAGCTTTGTGAGTACAGCTGTTAGCCAGAGGTAGCGTTGCTAAAGGACAAATTCTGTGTTCTTGTATATACAATTCATGTATTGTCTTTTCCTCTTCTTTTCCCAAAAGCCCTAAAGCCTGGTTCTGTGTGTGCCGTTTTAACCAGCCTCCTCACAGCTACCAGGGACTCTCTACTCCCTTGGCATGAAAGAGAGGCACAAGGCTGCACATGTTTACCAAGAGGAGAAGCGACTTCTCAGTAGACTGTCAAACCTGGCCTCTGTGCCAGTGGCTCGCTTTGTTATGGCAGGTGAAATTCACCTTTGCCCCACCCAGTGTTTCCACAAAAAGGCAGGGTTCCAAGTATTCATCTGAACAAGTGTTACTGTGGGACTCAGGGTTGGGGGTGGAGGATGTTTGCAGAGTCTGAGCCCCAGGCGGAGGTGTAGGAAACACAAGTACAGAGGCCATAGAAAAAAGCTGAGACCTAGTTTGACGCAGTCCTCTGCTTGTTCGTCTGCCCAGTGACTCAAAGCACTAAAAGTCAGCATAGTTGGAAGTGTGCTGAGCAGAGGTGCCCATTTGCTATTCGCTACTGTAACAAGAGTACCTCTTGGTGGCAGTTTCACCCACTCCAGGCTGCTCTTTAGAGGAGATTCTGTGTTTTGTTCTTTTGCTCTCTGCCCGCTCTCCCGCCCCTCTCCCCGTACTGCCATCCCCACCACCACCCGTGAAAAGACCATAAAATTGAAATGGAAAAGGTAACTGACAAAATCTGCCTTACCTCATTTCTGCTGTTTCGAGGTCCCACCAGACCAGTGATTTGATTCTTTCTCTAACTAGGCAATGAGGGCTGGAATCACATGTGCTGTGTTGCTTGCTCGCGGTTCGTTTACTCTGAGAGATTTGGGGGAGCTTTCCCTGGCTTTGGGCTAGCCGCCTCTCACCCGGCCTCATTCCTCTCTTTTGGACAGATCTACTCCAGAGAGGAGTTCCATCACTTCATTGATGGCTTTAATGAGGAGAAAAGCAACTGGATGCGCTACGTGAATCCAGCTCACTCTGCCCGCGAGCAAAACCTGGCTGCCTGTCAGAACGGGATGAACATCTACTTCTACACCATTAAGCCCATCCCTGCCAACCAGGAACTTCTTGTGTGGTATTGTCGGGACTTTGCAGAGAGGCTTCACTATCCTTATCCTGGAGAGCTCACAGTGATGAATCTCAGTAAGTGGATTACAGAACAACAACAACAAAAAAATGAAAAATGCCAGTCATGTCAGTTCTGCCCCTGTGAGCTAATAACATGTTGTTTAATTATATGGCTTCATCACCTGTTGGACTAAGTAGGTGGCGTTAGCTAAGATTAGGAAGAGGAAAACATTTTTAATATCCCTAGACCTTATTATGAAACTTAATTGTCAAATATTTATTGTATATGTTTATTATACATCTATATAAAGTGATCTTCTCTGAATCTTCAGAAAGTTACAGGAAGAAATGTATTTCCAGTTTTAACTTATGCAAAGGGGGGCAATTGGAGACATAATGCAGACTGGTATGGACATGTTGAACATGCTGGCTGTAGTCCCTTATGCCATAGTGTGTCAGGGTTTAGCGTCTTCATTGAAATCTTGTAAAGATACCTGTGAATAAAGCTGTCAGGTAGAAGGCTGTTTCTAGAAAAACTCTCATAATTTTTCAAGTAGTCTAAGTGAATAACCCTAAAAGATTTCATATCTTAGCTTCCTTCCTTATGGTAAAATGAATTAATCTCATCTTTTAATCAGTCTTACGGTAACCACCCATCGCTTTATCTTGGCAGATTCTTGGTTCTTTAGGTTTATAAGCTTTTACTTTTTTTCTCTTCTCTCTCTCTCTCTCTCTCTCGCTCTTGTAGTTTGGCCAAAATTTCTGTCATGACCTACAAAGCATTCCTTTATTTCAGTCAATTATTTCAGAACAATTTAAGAATAAAAAATTCTAACCTTTCTTGTAACCATACTTACATGTTCTGGGTTGGACTGATGTGCTTCGTAGAATTTTTTAAAATGACCACTTTTTGATTAAAACGAAATGTTGAAGGTTTGAAAGTTTTGGTTTTGTTTGTTTGGGGAGTTTTGTTTAGGTTTTGATTTTTGTTTTTTCATGATAGTGTTTCTTTCTGTGACCCTGGCTGTCCTAGAACTGGCTGTGTAGACCAGGCTGGCCTCTAACTCAGAGATTTGCCTGCTTCTGCCTCTGTGCCCCTTCTACAATGTTCAGGCTCTCAGGAATTTTCAAATTCTCTGAAAACTCATAGACTCAGCACCTTTCCCATAGGACCACACTGTAGGTTCTGTGCCCAGGGCCCTTAACCCACCACAATGCATCCTTGATCTGAGCACAGTGGGTACCATCCAGCCTGGCCAAAGGGAGCCATCTCTCTCCTCCCGTGTTTGCGTTTTGTTTTTTTTATTACGTTTTGATAGGGCCTCCTTCAGCCTAGGCTCACCTTAAAGTTGCCCTTTAACTGATCTCACCCAAACTCCCAAAATGCTAGGGTTACAGGCATGTGCCCACCATGCCTGATTCAAGTGCTGATTCTTTGTGTTCCGAGGAAAGGCCCATGTATACTGTGAAATGGCATCTTTGCTCCTCAGCGATCCCTTGTGATGTATTCAGGATTCTCCTGAGTGTCATGTTAGCACCTCCTTTGTCTGATATTCCTACTAAAGGAAGAGTTAACAATACAGTCGCACTACAAGGCTCCTGCCACTGATTGTGAAACCTGTTGGCTCAGGTGTGGTAACTGATGATTGAGACTGTGATCAGGAAAATTTCCACCATTTCATCAGGCCTCAGAGGTAGAGCATGCGTCCAGGATGAGCTGTGCTGGATTTCCGTGCTTAAAGCACAATAGAGGTCTGTCCAGAATCTCCCTAAGGACTTCCACAGGAGGAAAGAATTGGGATGGGATGAAGGAAAGTTAAGTGGCCAGAAATCGCAAACTGGCAAGAAGGAAAAGGGAGGGAAGAAGATAAAAGAGAACTATTAAATTTACCTCCTGGCCCTCCCAATCTTTTTGGTAATTTTTTTTCTATCTATCTAACTAACCCATCTAGAAATCAGTTGACCAAATTATAGACTTCTGAATGTTAATCTGCTTTCTCGGTTTCAGTTGAAAACAGACTTTGTTTTGCCTACTGCAGAACTTCTAGGTTCTTTCTTGTAGTCTTGGGGCTGCTTATTATAGATCGAAAATGTGAGTCGGCATAATTAAGCCATTCAGAACCTCAGAGGCAGCTCACTCTTGAAATGACTCTGTCCGCCTACAGCCATTTAAGATTTAAGAACAAAAACAGATCTTGATTTTTCCTTTTCATGTTAACTCAAGCTGCTAAGTGGGAGAGTTAGAAATGATACCAGCTCCTTTGATTACTCAGCTGCTGAAGGATGAGTTTTTAAAAATGTACCTTCATATACGGTCTGTAATTTCCAGATGTAAAGTATTTTAGAGACACTGACAGTTTGCTGAAGATACTCCTTCAGAATAAGCTGTCGGCTTGTTTTTCTGAATACAGAGACACCGAACACGACTCTTATGTGTGTCGCAGAGAAAATGAAGTTTTGAATTCTTTGTTGACTCAACCATTAGCTTCAGATCGGTTCGGTAATGGACGTGCGTAGCAAGAACACATGGTTAAACATGGGCGCAGCGCTAAGAGAGAGACTAATTCCTTACACTGAGAGTTTCCATTTGTTACATTTCCATGGTGGGGCCACCACAAAAACTTTATGAGGCTTTGACATGCTTTGCCACATAAAAATGGCAGAGTTGGGTGTGGTGGTGCACACCTTTAATCCCAGCAATTGAGAGGTAATCCCAGCAATTGAGAGGCAGAAGCAGGTGGATCTCTGAGTTCTTAGCCCATCTGGTTTAAAGAGCAAGTTCCTGACCAACCAAGGCTGCAGAAAAAGGCCCATCCCCTCCAAAAAGGGGGGGGGGCAGAGTTAGGAGCGTTGTACACAACACAATCTCCATTTCTTTCTTTTGACCTGATCTGCTTCCATGTCATTATCTTTTTTTTTTTTCTTCTCAACCTGCAGTAAATCCCTTCCTGTGCCGGTGGGGTGCCTTGCCTATCAGTTTTCCAGTTTACTTGTCTCTTTTCCTTTGCCGTTTTAGCTTTAAAAAACAAAAGTGACAATTTGAACTTCCTGCCTGCTGGGCCTCACCGAAAGACTGATATTGGCCTGATAAGGGGATATTTATTTTGGTTTAGAGGCCTGAGAAATTGCTCTCCCTCGAAAGCTTTCCATCACTGACCCCACCAGCATCGTCCCTGATAGTGTTGTCCACTGTGTTTATTCTGGGGCTCTGGCTGCCCAGGGGTAACTGATAACAGCTGCGGGAGATAAGATCCTCTAAAGGGCTTTCCAACTGGAATTGAATCCCTGCGGCTGTCAGCCTGCAGAATGGATTGGAAAGGTTTAGTTCTGGGCATCCAAGGAGTTAGTTCGCCTTCAGACCTATCAGGTAGCAAGCTTGGAGTTCCTTCTCAGTTAAGTCCAACAGGGCTGTTTTATAAGGTTACAAAGAATACTTTTTTTTTTTTAAACAGTGTCTTAAACGTCATCTGCTACATCTTCAATGGCTTCAATGGCAGAAGTCAAGAATCTTGCTTCTACTTGGAGCATGTTCACCCCCCCCCCCCCGCCCCCATGTGGTGCCCCCCCCCACCAACCATTGCCCTCTCAGCACACTCATGGGTGTAGGAGAGCCTGTTTGAGGGAGCACCCCAGGAACCATAGCTCTGCCTGTGTATCATATGTTAGCTTTGTCTAGGGAAGTTGAGCTGAGACTTTTCCTGCGGGCCTCATCTTCTCTGTGTAGGGCCAGGTGGCGGTAGATAGTCTAGGAAGGTCCTCATTGCTTCTGAGCTTTACCAGGGAATATATGCTGTCTCTAGGAGTAAATGTTTTCCTCTTAGCTGCCTCTGTTTTCTTTGGTGCTGTAAGTAATTGAACTGGCTTGGGAAGTACCTGTTGTGGTTTGGCAGAGGTGGCTCTCACACCTCATGATTCCAGGAGCCAGCCCAGATGGTAGCCTAGTTAGACCAGAACCTTGGTGAAATTCCAGTGCTGTCCAACAACAGCCATAAAGGGTAGCATCCATGCCCTTAATCTATTTGGCACAGGCAATTAGACCAGGGCTTTATGGAAGTCCCTATTTAAAGAGAATCAAGTTGAAAATTGATGACTGTTCTTTACTTAAAGTAGTTTTAATCTTCCATCTAAGGTTGCAAAGTGTGCCGATTTCCTTTAGGTAAACTGCAAACATCAGAATGACTTATTAACCTGTGACAACCCCCACCCCTGTATTTTTCCACCCCATCTGAGCGAGTTCCAGTTTGAACAGCACTTTTCTATCATAGTTTGCGTTAATGGAAACGAGATTGTCCAAATGCTGCCGCGGCTGTGCAAGCTGCCATGGGAGCCGTGCTGCTACTTACTGGGTGCAGGCTACTGCCATTGTTCCCAGCTTTTGTTGATCTCATTCCCCCTTCTTCCCCTTGAAGGAAATGGAGCAGCGCTTCTGAGTGGGTGGCCCAGAGCCCTCTGGAGTGAGAGGCGTGAAGGGCCAGGTGTCTAGCCTTTGCATTGCCAGCTGCTGCTCAGGGTTTCTCAAGAAGAGAGAATGCTTTCTGATTTCACTTTGGTTCTCCACAGTCTGTGAGTAACCGCCCTTTCTTCTTCATTTTAGCACAAATGGAAAGCAACCCAAAGCAATACAGCAGTGAGAAAAATGAACTGTACCCAAAGAATGTCCCCAAGAGAGAGTACAGTGTGAAAGAAATCCTAAAACTGGACTCCAATTCCTTCAAAAGGAAGGACTTCTACCGTTCCGACATTTCACCCCTCACTTTAGAAAAGGACATGGATGGCTTTAGGAAAAATGGGAGCCCTGACATGTCCTTCTATCCTCGGGTTGTTTACCCCATCCGGGCACCTCTGCCGGAAGACTTTTTGAAAGCGTCCCTGGCCTATGGGATAGAAAGACCCACTTACATTACCCACAGCCCGCTTCCATCTTCCACGACTCCAAGCCCCCCGGCAAGCAGCCCGGAGCAGAGCCTCAAGAGCTCCAGCCCCCACGGCAGCCCGGGAAACACCGTGTCGCCCCTGGTCCCAGGTCCCCCGGAACCCCGGGACTCCTACTCCTACTTGAATGCTTCCTATGGCTCCGAGGGCCTGGGCTCCTACCCTGGCTACGCACCTGCCCCCCACCTCCCACCAGCTTTCATCCCCTCTTACAATGCTCACTACCCCAAGTTCCTCTTGCCACCCTATGGCATAAGTTCCAATGGCTTGAGCACCATAAACAACATCAATGGCATCAACAACTTCAGCCTCTTCCCCAGGCTGTATCCTGTCTATAGCAACCTCCTTGGTGGTGGCAACCTGCCTCATCCAATGCTCAACCCAGCTTCCCTACCAAGTTCCCTGCCCACAGATGGAGCCCGAAGGCTGCTTCCACCGGAGCATCCCAGAGAGATGCTTGTCCCAGCACCCCACAGTGCCTTTTCCCTCACCGGGGCTGCCGCCAGCATGAAGGACGAGAGTAGTCCCCCCAGTGGCTCTCCAACAGCTGGAACCGCAGCCACGTCCGAACACGTGGTACAACCCAAAGCTACCTCAGCAGTGATGGCAGCCCCCAGCACTGACGGAGCCATGAATCTCATCAAAAACAAAAGAAACATGACTGGTTACAAGACTCTTCCCTACCCGCTGAAGAAGCAGAACGGCAAGATCAAGTATGAGTGTAATGTCTGTGCCAAGACGTTCGGTCAGCTCTCCAACCTGAAGGTAGGCCTCCAGACACTGTGCGGGTTGTACTTGGCTGCCAGGAAGCAGGTTTTTAATTGCACTTGAGCTATAGGAGACCCAGCTTGGGCCTGGGCTGTGCGGGTGCTGCCTGCTGAATACTGAAAGTGTGGGTTTGTCTTGATGCCTTTCCCTAAGGGCCTTGCATCGCACACATCTGGCTCTTTGAGCAGACACTTAAGTGGTAAGCCTCATCTCAACTCCAGAGCTAACGCCTGTGGCTTCTTCCCAGGTTCACTTGAGAGTGCACAGTGGAGAACGGCCTTTCAAATGCCAGACCTGCAACAAGGGTTTCACTCAGCTCGCCCACCTGCAGAAACACTACCTGGTGCACACAGGAGAAAAGCCACATGAATGTCAGGTGGGCAGTGTTTTCTGGGTAGAGCTTTCGACCTTCGTAGAAAAATATCTGTAGCGTTGCCTTCCAGTGGTGTTTCAACCAGCTCAAGATTCCTGCCTTGCCATAGGCTGCTGGTACCGTGAAGCTCCTGGAGGTTCTGTAGCTGCTCACAGGCTGTAGTGATGGGTGGATGTCACAGTTAGCTTTCAGTGGGTGAGGAAATCATCACAAACAGTGCCTTCCCCCTTATTGCTTAGCACACCGCCAGTGCCGTTAAGAGGCTTTGGGTCTTCCAAGGTTGCTGGGTTGTCTTGCCTCTCCCATTGGTAATATTTAATTTTGGTAATTTTTATTTAATATTGGTAATATTTAATCCTAATGATTTTCCCCTCTATCCTTTCCTTGCATTCTTTCGTCTCCTCACTTTAGGTCTGTCACAAGCGATTCAGCAGCACAAGCAATCTCAAGACCCACCTTCGACTGCATTCTGGAGAAAAACCTTACCAGTGTAAGGTGTGCCCTGCCAAGTTTACCCAGTTTGTGCACCTGAAGCTGCATAAACGACTGCATACCCGGGAGCGGCCCCACAAGTGCACCCAATGCCACAAGAGCTACATCCATCTCTGCAGCCTCAAGGTCCACCTGAAGGGCAACTGCCCCGTGGCCCCAGCCCCTGGGCTGCCTTTGGAGGATCTGACCCGAATCAATGAAGAAATCGAAAAGTTCGACATTAGTGACAATGCTGACCGTCTTGAGGACATAGAGGACAACATGGATATGACCTCTATGGTGGAGAAGGAGATTCTATCTGTGGTCAGAAAAGAGAAAGAGGAAACTGGTCTGAAAGTGTCTTTACAAAGAAACATGGGGAACGGACTCCTCTCCTCAGGGTGCGGCCTCTATGAGTCATCAGACCTGTCCCTCATGAAGTTGCCTCACAGCAACCCACTACCTCTGGTGCCTGTAAAGGTGAAACAAGAAACAGTTGAACCGATGGATCCTTAAGATTTTCAGAAAAGAAGTGTTTTGTTTTTGCTTTGCTTCTTAGGTTATGACTTGGTGAGTCAGGGTGCCTGTATTGAATTGCTTGTGAACAATTCCAGGCCTGCAAAGATCTCCTGGCAGGAGGTGATTCCCCACACCTCTGGAATTTAAGAAGGACTCCAAAGTTACCAAAATCTCAGGGTATAAATGAGGCAAAGACTCACTATATATACATATATACATATTATATATATATATATACTTATTTACAGCCATGTCTATATATTTGAACCTGTGTATTTTGAATATTTGTGTGGATATGTTTGCATAGCCTTCCTATTACTAAAACTATTGCCTAGCCATAATTATTTTTTCAATGATAATCCTTCATAATTTATTATACAGTTTATCTTTCAAAAAGCAATAATTAAAAAAGTTTACAATGACTGGAAAGATTCTTTGTAATTTGAGTATAAATGTTGTTGTCTTGTGGCCATTCTTTGTAGATAATTTCTGCACATTTGTTGAAATACCTGAGACTTTGTAGACAGCTGTATGATTTCAGACCATGTTTCTCTATAATAATGCTTTAAAATGAGGTCTTGATATTGCCAAAGTCATATGGTTGGTGTATTGACTCAGAGGATAGTATCCTTTGAACAACGTTGTGTAAGTTGGGGATATGTGTGCAGAATTACTCAGCAATAATTTGAGGGGAAGGAATAAGAAAGCAAATATTTTATGTTTCCAATGATAGTTTATTTTTCCCCTCCTTGCCACAATTTTACCAAAATAGTGACAGGAAGGTTTTGCCAGCCTGTCCCACCAAAAGCATAGGGTCTTCCTATCTCCGATGTCATAGGACCATTCTGAGTGGCCATATGACTTTGACATCCCAGTGTGTTATCTGAAAATGTGAAGAAGAGAAAATGCCATGTTAAAACCACCGAGAATCTGTCTTCAAGCACAGATAATTTTGTGTGTGTGTAGGTTGGGGGCTTGAGTCTGGGTGTCATTTTGTTGTTGACTTGTTTTTGTTTCTTAATGTCAAAATTGCACAAAGGTGGTGCCCTACCAAGAAAGATTTGGTGTCGATAGGCTCAGGCCACACTTAAAATACGAACAAAAATGAACAGAAAATTAAACAAAACAAACAAATAAAAAAAAAAACGGGTATTCTTGTCATCTTAGGTTAAGCGGGTAATGAACATTCCTATCCCCAACACATCAATTGTAATTTCTGTAAAACTCAGCTGTTCTCAGTATTTGTGTTTTTGCATTTTATAATTAATTTAATTGAAGATGAAAGGGCATTGCAAAGTTGTTCAACAACAATTACCTCATTGAGTGTACCCAGTAGGAGTGCAGGAAGTGATGTCTTATCTCATGACTTGCTACTCAGCTGAGCGCGTGTGCTCTGGAATGGTAGGCTGGGTTGTTCTGTCTTGTACTCGTCTAAGCCCAAAAGTTACCTGTTGGTGTTCAAGGTGTAGCAAAGAATGATGTATATTTATGAATCTATTTATACCACTATACCATGTGTATATATAATATATTTATAACCACTTAAATTGTGAGCCAAGCCATGTAAAAGAACCTACTTTTCCTAAAGAGCAGAAGGAACCTCTTTCTGAGGTTCTGCTTGCAACTCCATGACCTCACGATAACACATGGTGCTCATGCACCACCTTGCCTACTACCAGAGACCATAGCACCTTGGTGCAGAGGTAAGGGCCATGTAGCCACTAGGGAGGAACAGAAACTTCATTTTGCTTTTGAACATCATCTGTCCGATTTAATTTTTGTGCTACATTTGTGTCAGATGGGTCACAAAAATAATTTTTTTTTCTATCTCCACCTTACTTTCTTCATCCTCCTTTGGAACCCTGACACCTCCTCACTCTTGAGTCTGATGTTTAGTTTAGTGTTTTGTATAGGTCTATCAACACACAAAGAGGAAAACTTCCAGAGAAACCCAAGAGCCTTACGTATCTGCTGACTAGCGAGATGGGTTTCTCACCACCTACAAGGATCAAAACCCAAGATTCTACACATGCTAGCAAGCAAGCTAGCACTGAGCTGCAGCCCAGCTCAAAACTGACATTTCTGGATGCATCTGTGTTTGATGAAACTAATCCTTAACTGTAGGCAAACCAAAGCGTGACATGACACTGACACCCAATCTGCTTTCTTTCTGTGAACTTACGTTGTTTTCCTCCTGTGTTGGGAGGAGTCTTACAAGTACTAATTGTTTTTCTTGCCATCTGTACTTCCTCTTAGGCCTCTTACATGTGAGTGTTGAGCCCACAATTAACAGTGGTTTTATTTTTTTTTTTCCTCAGAGTTAAAACTGACCAAAGTTATTGGCTTTTTACTTTGCTAGAACAACAAACTATCTTATGTTTACTTACTGGTTTACATTGTTATTTATGTGCAAATTGTTAAAATGTAAATTAAATATAAATGTTCATGCTTTACCAATGCTTGTCTAGTGTCTTGAAATAAGATGCCCAATTCTCTTGTCCCTACTGAAGGGTGTCACTGAAGCACATTTTGAAGGTTTTTTTTCAATTTGTCCCTACCTGCTCCATCAGCCCTCCCAGCCCTCCTTTTCCCAGCAGTATCAGCCATGATGCCCAATTTCCCACCCTGCTGTACTCTATTAGAAAGCGAGTAAACATCACTGGCGTGTAGAACCTCATAATGCTCCCCATTCGGGTCCTAGCCAGGCCAGGCCCTGCTTAGCTTCTGAGACTGTTCAGGGTGGTAATGTCATGACTCTCAATACCATACAGTGTTCCTTTCATTATGAGTTATGGATATTTATCGATATACTTGAGGTCACAGTGAGGAGCCACGGAACACTAGGACCCATTTCAGAAATGGCATGTGTGTACTCAGCCCAATGGGTGAGGGGTACTGGGAGTATTTGGGTTCAGAAACATTTCCCACTCATGGTATTAGTATTCTTTCTGCAGTTTGAAGCTAACACAAAGGGTGCCACAAGAAATTTCACTCCTTATCAATTGGAAAACACATTTGCAACTTGGGGATTTAACATGAATTTCCAAAAAGCTGCTAACCCCAAATCTAAGCATTCTTCATGAGAAACCCAGGGTTCATGGTGGCGTGGCTCTGGGCCTCATGGAGCATGCAATGAGAATAAGTTTTCTTTCTTGTTCATCAATGTTCCAGAACCTAACCTGTCCCCAGAGAGAAGGCACAAGTAAATTTGATTCCCTTTTGGTAGATAAAAATAGCTGGGTCTGAAGAAGTGACAATATTCTCTGGGGAATGATCACAAAAGCTTTTCAGGGCTCCCATTCCACCATTACCAAGCTCATGACTCCCTGCTAACTGCCTGTTGAGAAAATAATGATTCTAATTACATTTAGACACTCAAGATTCCCTTATGTTTTCTTTTGCTTTCAGTGTTTCTTTAAGTTCATTTAAATATCTGTGCCAAGAATTTAAAATGTTGCCAACATACAACTGTGTGGTAAAGCAAAACAGAACCCTATTGTCATAAAGTGCCAAGTGGTGCTGGTTAGATGCCTAAGCTCTGCAGAACCATTGTGGTAATAATTTTTTAAAGTCCCCATAAGATCTAGGGTGTAACAATTACTAACATAAGTCATACTTCTTTAGTTGGTAGGCCACGTCTTGTTTTCTTGAGAGTTGCCTATCTCAGGAATAGTTGTGGATGGATTTGGATGAAAGATTAATACCCACGAGAGTCCAAGACCATCTGCCAGAGTCCATACTATTAGATGTAGGCTTCACTGCCCTCTGTGGGGCAGAGCAAGTCTGCAGAAGACACTACTACGTTTAATTTCCTTAATATAAAAGCTATGCAGAAATATTTCCTACCCCATGACAATATATAGACTATATATATGTTACACCATAGGAGTTTATTTCATGATGGTTTTTCTTTGGGGGAAATGAAATCAATTCATGTCCCATGAAATGATATAAATGAAGTTATTCTCTCCTCTCTTTCTCTTTCTCTCTGTGTAAGTGTGACTATGTGTTCTCTAAAAAATGATGATGCCAGATGTGGTAGCACACACTTTTAATTCCATTATTCTGGGGTGGGAGGCCGAGGCAGGCAGATATCTCTGAGTTCAAGGCCAACTTGGTCTACAAAGGGAGTTCCAGGCCAATCAAGACTGTACAGTGAGACCCTGTCTCTAAACACACGCACAGATACACAGAGATCCTCGAATAGATAATGAGAAAGGGCCAGGACAGAGGGAGGTATAATTAGGGGCACTTGGAGAAGGATTTGTAACATAAAACCAGGCCTCCAGGGAGATATCTCTAGAAAGGAAGACTGGAACAGAGAGGGGGCAACTAGAAGAAGGGAAGAATAGGAGGAAAACCACAATGTGCTCACCAAACTGGACAGTGGGTGATTCCTTTCTCTGGGGAACCAGGAAGCACTTTTCCCATAACGTGTCCATTTCGTTACCTTTAGCCAGACCACTCCAAGCATTGTCTAGTTCTACAAATCCACTTTGAGCTATGTGAGGACTGTAAAGTTTCTGAGCCCATGGAGAAACCACATCACACCCCTTTCAAGGCCTCAGAGCCCCTGAGTCCAAGTGTTCAAAATACTGCTGACAGCTTCCTAAACGGGTGAGAAGGGATCTTCATTTCAATACAGTCCTAATCGGTGTGATTCAGAGGAGAACTGCAGCAAGATTCTAGAAGGTTATTTTTAACCAGACTTATGCAAATATTCTCTGCATCGCTCAGCTTCTCAGAATACTATAAACTAACAGGTCTCTCTCCTTGTTTGCCCCTTCCAGGCTTGCCAAGTGCTGAGTCAGAGGTGGCCATGTGCACAGCTCCCTCCCTGTGTACAAGTGTGGCATAGTCATCTCTTAGTTTTCCTCTACTCTATCGAGAAAGAAAGAGGAAGTGACAGATAGGCACCCTGGGTCAATTTTGGTAAAAGAATTCTTCAGTGTGCTTACAAAATGTGTTTTCATGAGACGGTAGGAAAACACCCATCTTTAGGCATCAGAAGGATTCACCTGTGGGTAATGACAGCCAGATGTTCTCCACTGTGAGCAGGAACAGTGAAAAAGAAAAGACATTCGCCCCCAGCCGGAGGCTAAACCAGCGGTTCTCAACCTGGGGGTCGCAGATCAGACTTTTACACCATGGTTCATAACAGTAGCACAATTACAATTATGGCGTAGCAATGGAATAATCTTATGACTGGGGGTCACCACCACACAAGGAACTGTATCAAAGAGTCACAGCATTAGAAAGGTTGAGAACCACTGGTTTAAACTGAGGAAACTAACTACCTGACTAACCTAACTGACTCTAAGGTTGGCAACACACTGGACTTCTCCCAGAACAGGGACGGTCTCCCTGTGCGCAGGACTTAAGGAAGAGTCACCTGGCCTGAAAACTCAAGCTCAGTACAAGATGCCATGGCAAACCCTCCTAAACCCACAGTCCAGTACTTGTCAATCCTGTATGCAGCTGTAGACCTAAACCAAGACACATACAAGGCAAGGCCTTGTTTTCATTTTTTAATGCTTTTTTTATAATTTATTTATTTGTATTTTATGTACATTGGTGTTTTTGTCTGGATGTATGTCTGTGTGAGGTGTTGGATCCCCTGGAACAGAAATTACAGACAGTTGTAAGCTGCCATGTGCATGCTGGGAATTGAACTCGGGTCCTCTGGAAGAGCAGTCGGTGCTCTTAACCACTGAGCCATCTCTCCAGCCCCACATACAAGGCTTTGGTGGAGAACTTCAGCTTCCTTAATGTGCCTGAGGTCTATTTGTCTCTGTGGAATAGGCCTGGCTGTTCTGGAACTCGCTTTGTAGACTAGGCTAGCCTCAAACTCGCAGAGATTTGCCTGCTCCTGCCTCCGGAGTGATGGGATGAAAGGTTTGTGCCACTACTGCCCAGCTGCAATAGGAATAATTAAACAAACTAGGAAAGTTTGTTTACCTGACTCTGAGGAAGAGCCCATGATACTGTGAAAAAAAAAAAAAAACTCATGTAATTGAAAACAAGATGTTTCACGTTGCAATTCCCAATTATTGAAAAGGTCGATGAAATGATGTGTTCACCTGGCACTGTTAGAGACACCACCAACCAAGTAGGTTTAGGAACAGTAATTACTAGGGAAGAAGGGGTTCCCCAGCCTCTTAGCAGACTAGTCCAAGTTTCCATTCACACAGGTAAAAGAAGAATGGGGCATCAGCATCTTCTCCTTTGTTAACCTTTTCCACCCAATTTTAATGCAAGTAACTTGCTAAAGAGGCCCTGGGACACCCAGCAGCTGAAGATCAAGAATAGGGTCACCTAACTCTTCCACAGGCTCATAGTCTAGGAATATGTTCAAGGTACAAACTGAGTTCGAGTCTTTCCTCTCCTGTGATGTGCTGTGTACCCAAAATAAGGAGTATAGCTCTAGTCCTAAGGTCTGCCCATTCTCAGAAGCATCCTCTGGAGAAAATCCTAGAACCTTCCTAGGCCTCTGCCTCTGGTCCTTAGAATGAGGAGCCATTCCTGGGTGGTTTCCAGCTCTCTCTGAAGTATTACACCTTTGCTATGCTAAGGTTCCATTATTTCCTGTTGTCCTTTGAAGTCTGGTTGCTGTGGTAGGCAGCTCTAAGTCAAAGAGGAGATGACAGAGACCCAGAAATGAGGGGCAAACTGGTGTGGAGCCAACTCCAGCGGCTTCTGCTGGCAAAAGAGAGCGAGCTCACGGGTCCTGCTAACTTGTAAGAACTCTGCACTTTCATGTGCTTATCTGAAAGAAACCTACATGTTCTTCATAGAAATAATGGGTTATGCTTAAGCCAGACCCCTACTAGACTTCAATACCAGAACTCTAGAGTGTCTATTTTAATCGGTTTTGGTTTACTCTTCTTTGTCTTTTTTCTCTTTTTTAAATTTCTTTAAAGCAAAGTCATATTTACAGGACAAGTGAAAAAGATTTAAGTTTGTTGTCACAAAAAGGACCAGGAGACAGAAACCCTGACAGCTGAGGCAGAACTTGAGAACACAGTAGGCAGATCCCAAGGAGGCACTGAAAGGAAACCATGTCGGTTAGCAAGAGGCCTTGCTACCATTTTAACGGCTCAAACTTTGAAAGGGGGAATAAAGAAAAACTGAGCTGAGAAAGGGAGGAGTAGGAAAAGGTTAAGCCAAGACAGAAACTGTGAGTAAATAGATGTGAAAGGGGCTGAAAATAAGTGAAAAGTGAAAAATTGCCTTATGAATAAACCGTTGAAAAATAGTGAGTGAAAAAGCCATCGCACTTCCAGTTATTACTGAATCACAAGCTGCGGCAGAGAGGCTGGCCTGAGCAGCCCTAGCCCCGAACCTCCACTGCAGCGCTTGGCTCGGCACTGCCTGTGGGCGGACACTGTTTTCTACTTGACTGTTCGTTCAGTTTCACTGTGATTGCCTCTAGCACAGACGGTGTGGGCCACCC